TATATATATATATATATATATATATATATATATTGCTTTCAGACCTAGTAAGCCTTAAAAAATGCACATCATCCACCATGCTTCATGGCAGACTTTAAAACTGAGACCATTTTGCGTTTAGAAATTACAAAGTTGTAGTTGTTTGGTTCATATGTTGAAATATTGTTATGCACAATTTTGTCCAATTCTGAGACAACACTCTCAAAGTGTTTGTTAGGGATGACTTTCAGCTACTACTCCACATCAGATTGTAGCTCAGTACCCATAACCCATATCTCTTTATGAAATGAGGATAACGAGTTACAACAACAAACAATTTCCCTCTGGGATTAATAAAGTATTTTTTAATTTAATTTAATTAATTTAAAACTGATTGTGTTATAGTCATTTTTTTTTGTTGGCTAATTTTGATTAACTGTGGTGGCTATCTTTAAAAGGATTTACTCCAAAAAGTAATCAGTTGTAGTTATATATTCATTGATTACTTTCTAAAAGTTAGATACAATATGTCCAGTGTGGCATGAGACATTTTGCTAACAAAACAAAGTTGACTCAAATTATTAATGCTAATGTTTTAAGCAAAGATTTTAGGCAAAAAGTTGTACCTGGAGTATGTGCTTTGAATAACTTTCAGCTACTACCATTCTGAACTTTAGCTCAGTTTCTTTAAAATGGACCGTTTTCTACTAACTGATCTATTCTGTGATGAGTTGTATGTGGCAACCATCTTAAATGAGGCTGGCTTCAGAAGATAATCTGTTGCAGGGGTGCATCTAGTAATTATTTTGTAAAAAATTCCATTAAAGTTGATTCAGTGGTTTATGAGATATTTTGCTAACAGACAGAGTTGACTCCAAATAGTTATAGGCAAAACATTTAAACCAGGATCTTGTTAAATCTGAGTTCAGGTTAAATGTTGGGAATCAGTCTCAGCTACTACCACCCCAAACTTTAGACCGTTGTCTGTAAATTGGATGGGTTATTAAGCATGCAGGTGTTTTAATGTCAATTGGCTGTGGCAGCCATCTTGAATCAGATTGGCTCCAAGGTGTTCATTACCTTTTGAGAGTTTTTTTAAATGAATCGAGTGGTTCATGAAATATTTTGGTAGCAGATTTTGAAAATACAAACTGCACCAAAATGTTGAGTGACTCATGAATCTTTGATATGATGGTTCTGAAGCTCACAGCCAACGGGTTTGATG